TTTTGACCTTTTCCTTCTTTCTTTCTTGTCTTCTTAATGAGGCACTTAAAAAGACCATGCTTGGGTCAGACACACCTTAGTCCTCATAATGATTGATTTGTAATACTTTAAAGAGCTCTTTGCAGCCAATTTGCCCAGTGTAATACCTCATGCAATTTCCTGACTGTTGTTTCCCTTGGGCATTGATTCTGGATCCAAGTAAAATGACGTCTTTGACAGCTTCAGTCTTTTCTGTTTATCATGATGTTGTTTATTGGTCCAATTGTGAGGACTTTTGTTTTATGTTGAGGTGTAATCCATATTGAAGGCTGTAGTCTTTGATTTTCATCAGTAAGTGTCAAGCCCTCTCTGTTTTCAGCAAGTAAGATTGTGCCATCTGTGTATTGTAGGTTGTTAATGAGTTTTCCTCCTTCATTCTTGATGTCAGATTCTTCTTCATATGGCCCAGCTTCTTGAGAACTCTATGGAACAGTCTACTCTGTCCTATGTGGTTGCTCAGAGTCAAAATTATCTCAACAGCAATTTTGTTTTTTAAGATGCAAGGAAAGAAGACCTGGGAGTCTTCTACATAAATCAGTCAGTAAAAGCCCTTAGACGACATCAGTCCTGGTCTGGGTATACCTGGGGTCGCCATGAATTAGAGCTGACTTAGGGACAGCTCACAATAAAAATGGCCCCACCTCCCTGAGTAACAGTGGGAAGTGAATGCATTCCAGTTGGATTGTTAACTGGGTGGAGAACAAGTATATACATGTCTCCTTATACAGAAGGGGATTAACTTAGCATAACTATCTTTTTGTTGGTAAGTGCCTTGTTGGTTCTGTCTCACAGTGAATCTATATAGGGTTTCCCAGGAGCAGCTGGTGAGTTTAAACCACTGACAGTCCAGTGTTTCTCCTACAGCACCACACCAAAAGTCCATAACATAACTAGAATGGAGCCCCCCAAAAAACGTATATTCATTTCCATTCTTATTAGAAAATCAAATATTTTGTTTAATAGAAAGACCAAAATTTGCATGAAACAAAAGACCAAAAGGGGTGCAAAGTTTATCCTCAAGGTAATTATTCAGTAGAAATAAGGTTTGAATGAGGACTGATTTCTCTGTATCCTTGGCTGGTGGGCTTTGAGTTGAGATTTTGCATTCGATGTTGTACTGTGTTCCTTGGCGTTTGGGAGTCTTTACAGTCGGAACAAACATGTGAAGTCCCTTCCAGGCATTGCTGAATTTAGTGGTGTTGAAGTTCTGGGTTTTGGTCTGTATGTCAGCAAATGAGAAAAGGGCAGGTTCATCTCTCCTTCTGCCCCCCCTGGACTCCCAAGCAATTGTTGCTGTTATTGTTAAGTCCTGTTGAGTTGGTTCTGACTCATAGTGACCATGTATATGGGTTCTAAGGAGTAGCTGGTGGGTTTGAATGGCTCACCTTTTAGTTAGCAGTCCACTGCTTATCCTACAGTGCCACACCAGGACTCCCAAGCGGTAGCTGATGAAATTGCTGTAAGCAAGAGCGTTAGTTGGGGCTTTGCTCAGTCCTACTTCTTAAGCAACCTCTCCCAGCTTCCATTCACAGCTTCTGGTCCTGTGCAGGAAGGTTGATCAGGGGAGGCGGTACCTGAGCCCTTCCCCCACACACTCCTCTTTGACCTCCTCAGGTTTCTGCTAATCCCATTGTCTAGAGACAGGTTATCTGAAAGACCACATTCCTTCACTCATTTCTTTTCTCAGGATGGGGTCTTAGAAAGGATCCTAAGTGGTAAAGATTTATAAGGGCACCTTCATAAAGAGTTTTATTTTGAACATCCACTTCTCTGACATTTTCAGAGACTCAAATATTCACAGGGCCACAATATAATAACCTCAGCCTCACAAAATTGCAAGGATGGAACAAAACATGTTCCCAACCACCTGCTTCTTGTTGTTGTTAAGTGCTGTCTAGTCGATTCTGTCTCATAGCAACCGTGTATAGCGTTCTCATAGAGTGGCTGGTGGGTTTGAACCTCCACCTTCCAATACAAATCGACCTTGCTGTCCAGTGCTTATCCTACAGTGCCACACCAGGACTCCCTAGCCACCTGCATAAGGGAGAAATGGGCATCTCATTACACAAAATGCATTTAAAGTTGTGTCATAATTCTGCCTCCTTCGGTCTTAGAATATATCAAATAACCACATCTTATAAAATACCCTGCCTCACCTGGTTTATTCATATCAAATAAGCAATGAGCTTCTGTATGTCATTAAAGGAGGGCAAAGTATGTTGCTGGGTGGTGTGAACAGTTAAGCACTCAGCTGTTAACGGAAAGGTTGGCAGTTTGAGTTCATCGACAGGTAACTTGGGGGGAAAAAAGTCATGTTGATCTACAGCCAAAAAGTCAGCCTCTAAAGACTGTCTTGAGTACAGGTCTACTCTGGCACACAGGTGAATTGGAGTCAACTGCATGACATGGTTCTACTTGTCATTCATAGAAGTCAAGGGTTTGATAAAAGCAGCTTCCGTGGCCAGTGTTCAGAATCCCAAAGTGGCCCCATCCATTGGTTTTGTGGGACTTTGTCAACAAAGCACTATCTTCAAAAGCAAGAGACCACTTCTCTGAAACACGTGTTCTCTTTGCTCCCAGATACAAGGATATGCACTTTTGGATGTTGGTTTGTATTTATATAAACTGTTGAAATCTTTCAAGGGGCACTTGGTTCAGTAGTAGGGTTTTCAATAGTAGGGTCTCACGTGGGTGAGAGACACAGGTTCGATTCCTGTCCAAAGTACCTCAAGAACACCCATAGCCATCTGTCAGTGGTTAAGTGCTTGGTTACTGACTGAAAGGTCCGTGGTTCTAACCCATGAACTGCTTCATGGAAGGAATTTCTGACAGTCTGCTTCTGTAACACTTAAAACCTTGGGAACCCTATAGGGCAGTTCTATTGTGTCCTATAGTCTTACCTTTCATTCAGGAGACCCATGTTCAATTCCCAGCCAGTGCACTTCAAGTCTCTCTACCTGTTAGGTTTCAGCAGAGCTTCCAGACTGAGATGGGCTAAGAAGAAATGCCTGGTGATCTACTTCTAAAAATCAGCCGGTGATTTTTGGATCACAACAGTCCCATCCTGTTGTACATAAGGTCACACCATGGGCCACAGGCCAACTCGAGAACAGCTGACATCAATAACAGTAACTTCTAAAGTAATGAACTTCTTCTTGGACTTCTGCTGTGGCCCTGTAGGATCAGCACTGGACTGTAAACCATAAGGTGGGCATTTCAGACCCACCAGCTGCTTCTTGGAAGCCCTATATGAGTCTATGAGTCAGAACCAACTTGACTGCCCATAACAACAACCCATCTGCTATAGCGCTGCAGGATAATGCACTGGACCGCAAAGTCAGTTTGAACCACACAGTCGATAGTTCAAACCAACCAGCCACTACTAGGAAACCCTATACAAGATCACCATAAGTCTGAACTGACTCAACAGCACTTAACAACTACAGCAACAATGATAAGCGTTACATACATGCACAGCTCCTGGTGTGGTGCTGTGGGTTAATGCGCTCGACTACAAAGTTGGTTTGAACTACCAAGATGGAAGTTCAAGCTCACCAGCCGCTCCCTGGAAACCATGTACAGGGTCGCTCTGGGTCAGAACTGACTCAACGGCACTTAACAACAGCAACAACAGGTGTTGTGATATGTGCTGTAGTAATTGTTAGCAATGCAAATCGTGAACTTTGTGATATAATAGCTACCATCTCTATGTTTCCAGCCTTTTATTGAGCACTGAATAGTCTTGGTATTCAGATATTTTATTGCTAATAAAATGTACAACTATTATTAGGGAAGAAAGCCAGTCAAAGCGTCGAAAACATTTGTCTCTGTACAGCAGAAATTGGGGTTGCTCAAATGTGTGCCTCTTTCTCCTTTTTAATGCATCATTACTAATTGACTTATTATTTGAGAGAATTAAAACTGAATTAAAAACAAAAAAAAAGACTAGAAGGAGATACTTGTTAATCAGAACTCTCTCTGGGGGGTTGAAGTTTTCAGCTGTTTTTTTTTTTTTTCTTCCTTAAGGAGCCTGGTAGCATAGTGGGTTACAAGATGGGCTGCTAACCACAAGCTCAGCAGTTTGAATCCCACCCACCCTTTGAGGAAAAGATGAGGCTTTTCTCCTCCTGTAAAGATTTACAACCTCAGAAACCCTATACAGGGTCTCTATGAGTTCATATCAACTCCAAGACACACCATCGGCAACCACCACCATGCTTTCTAGATGCAAATGGGTCCAAACTGTATTTCTGTGTTGTTTTTTAAATGAAAATCAGTACATATGCAGTTTAATATAGTTACTGAACATCAGAAGACTAGTGGGAAGTTGGCAGGATGCATTTTTTACACGCTTTCAATCAGAACATAGAATTCCCGGGGCAAACTAGAGCACAGACCAGTCTAGGTGTGAGAGCTTCGGAATGGATAGAGGGCGATTGTGCATTGTAGGCAGAGAAGGAGGTCTGAAGCAATGGAAGAAAGATAAATGGATGGAAGGATGATGCATGGCTCTCCTGAATGCTAACAGATTGGTCCTGGAAACAAGAGCAAACACTTTTGGAAGACTGCAGGGCGTTAGCAAGAGGGGCGGGCAGACGTGGAGCCAAGCAGGTACTGGCTAGGCTGTTTTAGAGTCATCTCACATTGTGAGCATCCTCTCTTCATTTCAGTAAAAGCTTCTGGCCAGAACACATTTGCAAAGAGACCATTTAATCCACATTTGGGAACAGAAGCAGTACTAACAGCTAGCTCCCCTCCCTCTCCGGTTGTCTGTAGGCAGGAGGAGCTGTGTCTTCACTCACACCTGTCTCTGTTAACCTTGATGGTGGCGCAGAGCTCCCAGATCCCTTTTGACATATTGTGGAAATGTTTTGCACATGCAAAATGCTTGGAATGTCAAAATGCCAGCAGTGCACGTTGGCCCTGCCTTCCCCACTTACCAGGTTTGCTGTCTTTTGCAGGATGGATGGTCACAATATCACTTTGTAGCCTCATCTTCCACCATCGAGAGGGATCGGCAAAGGCCCTACTCTTCCTCCCGCACGCCCTCCATCTCCCCCGTGCGTGTGTCTCCCAACAACCGCTCAGGTAAGAGCCCAGACCCCACACAGCAGAAAGGAAGGAACCCAGGCCAGACCAGCTGGAATTCTGAAGGAAGCAGTCTGGTTTTCTATTATTGCAGTGGCAACTTTGTGTTAAGGATACAGAGACTCAAGGGTCCCTCGTGATGCAAGTATTCAGAGATCAGCTGCTAACTGAATGGTCACAGGTTCAAACCTACCAGCGTCTTCACAGGAGAAAGACCAGCAATCTGATCCCATAAAGTAGAAAACTCTATGAGGCAGTTATTTGTACTTTCACATGGCCCAGCAGCACACAGCAACAACAACATACAGAGACACACAACAGTCCAAAGCCCCTTAGTGGTTCACAGGTGAGACTGCTCTGCGCCCAGTGTTAAGAGGAAAACTGCCCCATGTCAGCAAGACTTTCTGTGGATGGGTTCTCCATGCACAAATAGCTGGAGCTACACTTTATTTACTGTCATTTGGGTAAAAGGGTAGGAAGAAGCCCTGGTGGCACAGAAGTTAAGCACTCAGCTTCTCACTGAAAGGCTGTAAGTTCAAACCCACCCAGGGGAGAGACTTAGAGATCTGCTCCCATAAAGATGCCAGTCTGGAAAACCATGTGGCGCAGTTCTACTCTGTCACATGGGGCTGCTGTGAGGGGGACTTGACACCAGAGTCAGGGAGGGAGGGCGTGACATCCAGAACCTATCACTGAGGAGTTCCTGACTAGGTCATTTCTGATTAGCCTTTGGCAGGTTGTCCTGTGTGGTGCTGTTGGATAAACACTGGACTGCTGACCACAAGGTCGGCGGTTCAAACCCACTAGCCACTCTTCAGAAACCCATATGGAATCCCTGTGAGTCTGAACAAACTCAATGGCACTTAACAACAACATGACCTATAAGGAGTCCCAGTGTGGTGCTGTAGGATAAACACTGGATTGCTGACCACAAGGTCAGTGGTTCAAACCCACCAGCCACTCCTCGGAAACTCTATACAGTGTTGATATGATTCTGAACCGACTCGTTGGCACTTAACTGGTGTGGCCCTGTAGGATAAGCACTGGATTGCTAACCACAAGGTCAGCAGTTCAAACCCCCAGCTCTTCATTGGAAACACTCACTATACAGGGTCACTATAAGTCTGAACCAACTCAGTGGCACTTAACAACAATATGACCTATCTGTAGACTAAGCACTGGACTGCTAATCTCAGTGGTTCAGATCCACCAGCTGCTCCTCAGAAGCCATATGCAGATTTGCTATGGGTCAGAACCAGCTGGATGGTGTTTGACAACATTATTTATATGTCCTTATTATAAGTGACTTTTTCAAGTTCCTGATTTTATCACGCCCGTATTGCTTAAAGGAGCCCTGGTAGTGATGTGCCTAAAGCATTTGGCTGTGAACCAAAAGGTCGGCTGTTCAAACCCACTAGATGCTCCATGGGAGGAAGCTGTGGCAGTCCTCTCCTGTAATACAGCTTTGGGAACCAGATGAGGCCACTCCACACTGTCCTGTAGCCTGGGACCCTTCTACTCTGCTGTCGGGCCGATAGGATTCTGAATTGACTCAAGGCAGCAGGTTTGGTTTTTGGCTATTGATGAAATATTGAGTTTCCTTCTTCTATTTACTTATAAGATATACTTAGTTTTTATACATTTTTGGTCTCATGAGATAATGCCAAAGATTAGAGAAAAGAATTAAAGTCAGAGTGCGAACACTTCATATAGTAGTACAAGGGGCATGGGTTTTATAGTTGTTTACTCAAAGTATCATTTAAAAAAAAAACAAAAACAAAAAACTGCATTTGTAATTTTTGTCCTGAGGATGAAGGATGGATTATTATGTCTGCCCATGCATGAGTGTACACACACACACTCACACGGCACACCTCCTATATGAGTTTTCACTTAGGAAAACTTCTCTCCCTCCCCTGTCTTCCCTGAGGAAGTACCATTTCCTGAGCTGAGTCCCCGGAGCGTGGAGAGCACATTCCCCAGCAAAGGGGCCTTTCTGCCCTCGAGGTTTGTCATAAAACTTTACACCAGACTTTACTGTCTGAATGATGAGGACACTCAGAAATGAATGGGGGGACATTGGACAGAAATAAATGACCTTCTCCCAGCCATGGGAAGCCTTTTATTTTAGTTTGTTATTATTGTTTATAGAACCCTGATGGCAGAGTGGTTCAACGCTTGGCTGCTAACTACCAGCATGTCCGAGGGAGAAAGATGTGGCAATCTTTCTCCATAAACATTGTCGCTCTTGTTAAGTTGTCATTGAGTTGGTTCCGACACAGTGACCCTTTGTAAGGTATCCAAGGAGTCACTGGTGGGTTTGAACCACCAACCGTGTGGTTAGTAATCCAGTGTTCATCCTATAGTGCCACACCAGGACGCCATAAAGATTGTTGTTGTTGTTGTTAAGTGCCTTCGAGTGGCTTCAACTCATAGTGCCCCAGTATAGGATTGGATCAGAACTCCAGTACTGATCCTACAGCGCCACACGAGGGATCTATTGGCCAAATCCTACTTTCTAGAATAGGGAAGAAAACAGCAGTCTGTACTATAAGCCTGCTACCCTGCATCATGTCCGGGGAGAGAACTTTCAGAGCGTTATTCACGTGTGTGTGGGGGTGGGGAGGGGGGAGAGAGGGTGCTATAGGATAAACACTGAATCACAAGGTCATTTGAACCACCAGCCACTCCTTAAAAACCCTACACAAGGTTGCTGTGAGTCAGAGAAGTAAACAGCACTTATTAACAACAACACTGTTCTGCAGGGTCAGAATGGACTGAACTACAAGGGAAGAGTCCACTGTCTTCTCATCCCAGGTGTTCATGAACTTTCTGAGGTTCCCTCATATTGCTCATAACATTAAGTCCAATACTAGACAGGAATCTTGGAACACAGGTGACCGAGGAAATGTCTGCCTGTGTGAGAATCGAAAACGTGGCCTCTTCTTGTTTCTATACTTCTCTTGCTCTTGTTATTAGATGCCACCGACTTCATTTCAACTCACAGCAACTGTGTGTGACGAAGCAGAACTGCCTCACAGGGTGGCTTAGGGCTCGCCAACTTTTGCACGAGCTGATTGTCTTTCCTCCACAAAGCTGCTGGGGGAACTTTAACTGCTAACCTTTCCATTAGCAGTTGACCGAGCACTTGAAAGTTGTGATATCAAGGCTCCTTTCCAGCAGATTTGTATGGTACGTACGGTCGCTGTGAGTTGGAAGCAACATGACACCACCTTACAAGAACATAACCAAGGTGGGGGTCTCCTTAAAAGCTCTGGTCATTAAAAATGACAGTCTGTATACAGAAGCTGAAATGGAAGAACAGTCTGAAAGGCACTTGGGCAGGGAATGAGAACTCTTTCAGGAGGCTGAGGGCCGTTGGGTTGCTCCAGTGGAGTGTTGCTTCCGTATCTGCCAGGCTGGACACATGGGAGCCACCGAACAGACACTTGTTTAGGTAGTTTGCTTTTTCCCAGAGTATCTTTCTGGTTAGCTGGAGACTCTGAACATCCCTGTGTCTGAGGTCTCTGGAGGTAATTATACACTTGAAGTCGTTTCATAAGCACCACCATCTGTGTAATATTAGACCCGAATCGAAAGAGCTTTAGTCAAGAGACTCACAAATATCCATTCAGGATGGTCTGGCCGCATCTCATAAAAAGCTAGCCTTTCTGTAAGGAGACCCAAACCAAGAACCAAGAGTGGGAGAAAAGAGTTGCCTTGAAGCAGCAAGACTGGGAACAGCAGAGAGAAGAGGGGCAGAGGGTATAGGAGGTGACTGAGACACGGGTGGGCAGTCATGTCCTGGGAGCACAGCTGAATTAAGGGCCTCGGGAAAGAAAAGCTCCCCTTTAAGCACCAGAATCCCAACTCTGAATGCCTCACATACCTTGGAGACCCCACACCTCGGTCCCTTCCCTGTACTTACTCCAGCGAGTCTACAATTTTTTTACCCAGCCAGTGGCGCTCTGCCCTAAAATCAAAGCTTTGGCCTTCTCACCTCCATCTGCAAAGCTCACTGTACAACAAGGAGATAAAGCGCTGACTCCAACCATTGCGATTTCAGACTTGTCCGCAAGTGATGAGAGATTGCTGCGAGGCGTCTTTACTGATGCAGTTCTCAGCCCTGGCTGCCTCTGGACTTATACCCTGAGATTCAGGCCCATCCAATTAAGGGTAGAGCTAAAAGCCTCATTACTTTCCATGGTATTCTGGGTCATTCCTTCTAAGGGGTGCCTGGGATTAGAAACCTCAGAAGGCTGCAAAGGCTGGGCAATGAGCCTGGACTTTGTTTGTACCATTGGAGAAGTGGCTAGAGGGTCTGGCACGAAGTGAGGAGAGGTAAGCAAAGACTCTGTCTGCTTACATTGAAAGCACTCAGCTGTGGCCTTCCTGGTACTCACTACCTCTATGTACATTTCCATACATGACTAAGAGCCAAAGTTTAGAAATGGTGGCAGGATTTGTATTCTATCTCTCAGGTGTCTACTATCCCAACTCACAGGGAATCCCGTGTGATGGAGTAAACCGTGGGTTCAAACCCCACACCTTTAGGTTAGCAGTCAAGTGCTTAACAATTGTGCCACCAAGATTCCTTCCTGGGTATCTAGTGTACGAATTTATGTCTAGAAGATGCTGATGTTGAGAAAATGAATTAAATGCCTCAGGTGTCTGGAGCTGTGGTATTCAGCAGTGGGTGTGCAAGATAAGCCCAAAGGGAAACTGAGACCTGACCAGAGAGGGGCTTGAATATGAACCCAGGAAAGTGGGCTTTCTCCTAAAAATCAGTGTCCCGGAAGTCCTGCACCTATTGTTGGAGTACCATCAAGTTGACTCCAGCTCACAGTGACCAAGTGACCAAGCAGAACTGCCCTCTGGGGTTCTCTAGGCTGCAACTCTACAGGCACAGATTGCCAGGCGTTTGTGCCACAGACCTTTCAGTTAGCAAACACGTGCCTCACTGCTGAGGTACCATGACGCCTTAGTTACCAGGATGTTGGTGATTAGTGTCATGGAGTTGGTTCCAAACCACACCAGGACTCTAATGACCAAGTCCTTCTCCTGAAAATTCAGTCCAGGCATCTGTAGGGCTGTTGTTGTTGTTCTGTGCTGGAGTCGGTTCTGACCCATAGCGACCCTGTACAGGGTTTCCGTGGCTGTAAATCTTTACGGGAGCAGAAAGCCTCACCTTTCTCCTGCAGAACAGCTGGTAGTTTCAAACTGCCGAGCTTGAGGTTAGCAGCCTGATTCGTAACCACTACGCTGCCAGAGCTCTGGATTCCCAGTTGGGTCTGCAGATTCACCATGTTTAAGAAGCTGTGCGGAGGAGTTCAGTGCCTGAGCACATGTGAGCTGGATGCAGAGGACTAAACTGAAAATATGAGAGGTCTCAAGTAGGGACAAGGGATCAGTATGAGGAGAGCCAGAGTGAGGGGTCTTAGGGACAATGAGAGTAATATGAGTGAGGACAGTCAGTGTGAGGATCTTAGGGACAATGGGAGGGATATGAGTGAGGACAGTCAGAGTGAGGGTCTTAGGGACAATGAGAGCAATATGAGGACAGTCAGTGTGAGGGTCTTAGGGACA